TTCCAAAATATTTTCGAAAGTTTATGTGTCACAAAAGCATACTGTTTAGCAAAGGCAACAATGAATTGTTACAAACTAGTGCAATTATGATTCAACCATGTTTTTTTATTAATTCATCTTGTTCTTTCACGCGGTCTTCCAGAGCTTAAGGATCAATCCTCTGTCTTTGCCTGTCAGGACTCTGCAAATGAGAGTGACAGGGGCTGTCATTCCGCCTTCCCCTAGTATCCCTCCTGGTGTTATGTCGTTGGGGCTCCAAATTTGCCATGGGAGGGATAGAAGGTAGTCCTTCACGCCTTGCGCCCCCATCTGGAGTTTGTCCGTCGATGGCGGACTGTGGCAATTCTTCAATGTGCGCCATTGTCTCTGAAGAGGAGGAGCTTAATCAAGAGGTTTTGTCCTGTCTGTTCTTCCCACAGACGGCGCCAATTGTACGGGAAAGAAATAAACCTTCTCGTATAATCCTGTTGATCAAGTCCATGCTCCTCCGTACGACGTCACTTTATCACCTGAAAACACAAACGTGAACTAGCCGGCGGGTGTGTGCCGGAAACCTCTCCGATGCCTAAGTCAGTAAGCTTGACAAATAGACAAAAGCTCTGTGTATTCAGAAAGTAAAGTTGTTTGTTACCTCCTCCAAGGTGATGTTTGTGAGCTTTTATAAGTTTCGTGTGGCACAATCCTAGTAGGACTTCTACTTCTCCAGGCAGAGTCCTCCTAGGATTCATACTCCTGAAAGATAATGTCTATCCTTCAACACCCCCCTCACTGCTTAAACCAAGTGAGATGGTTTTTACCATGGCCGAACTACCACATGACCGAAATAATACTGACTATGCTGAGCCACAGAATAGGCCGAACTATCCTTAGTTTGGTTCTTTCTTTTCTACTCCCTATCTCGGTTATTTCATGTACAAACCATGGTATGTTTAGACCGAGCTACCGAGTAATAAGGTTTTGACCGTTCTAACCTCAATACGTCATGACCGGACTAACTCTGAGACCGGCCTAACTCCAAGTTGCTTCCAGACCGGAGTAACTTTACAATTCTTGGGCCGGAGTAATGATCTCCTATCATTTCACATGTTATTTAATAATATAAATTTTATCAAATTGATGTTACTAATATAAGTGGTACATCTCATTTTTTATTATTGTTCTTTTAAATTAAACGATATGTAATGTGTGTGTATATATATATATATATATATTTTGCATACATACCTTGACTCCCTCCCAACCAAATTTCTGGTTTCGCCTCTGGGGATAGTAGCTTGCTACATTTGTGGTACATGCCTTTGATGTGGTCTCTTCTCTCGGTGTAACTTTTCTCTTCTGTTTTCTAGTTTATTGGGTTGTTTTGAATGGTTTTGTAATATGAAAACTCCTATGTATGCTTTCTTTTATATTATAATGAAGTTCTTATAAAATAGTAATAATAATAAAGAAGATGTCAATGTGATTTTTTTTTTTTGTTGATCAGATGCCAATGTGATTTCAAAAGTGTAGAAAAGGGTCTCCTTGTAATTTACCTTTGATTTGAATGATCACATTGGCCATCAACATCTTATTGCCATGAAAAAATTTATTGTTATGGTCAGTCAACATCACTATCTAGTTAATTGGCGATTATAATAGTAGTACATAGTTGTGAATTGTAGTACAAATTCAATAGTCAAACAAGAATAAAGGTCTGTTTGGTAAAATTTATAAGTTGTTTATTTCAGTTTTTAGTTTAATTTAAGTTAAAATATTATATTTGGTATAACTTAAGTTAACCAGCTTATAACTTAAATTAAGTTATTTCTCAGCTTATCTCAAAAGTTGGTCAGGAAGTACTTAAATTTTTTACTTAAGCGCACAGCTAGTGTAGGGGGCTAAAATTACTTAAATGCCCTCGTCAATATCTAAATATTAATATTAATTAAAAAATAAAAAATTGTATATTTATGAAGAAAAAGAAAAAAATCAATATTAATTGAAAAATAAATATTAATTGGTATTAATTATTAATAAATTCGTATTGTATATTTTTATATTAATTAAAAAAATTAAAAATTGTATATTTTTGAAGAAAAGGAAAAAAAATCAATATTAATTGAAAAATAAATATTAATTGGTATTAATTATTAATAAATTCAATTAAGCCATTAATTGATACTAATTAATAATTTTAGTATTAATTGAGACTAATTAAGCCATTAATTGATACTAATTAATAATTTTAGTATTAATTGAGACTAATTAAGCCATTAATTGATACTAATTAATAATTTTAGTATTAATTAATACTAATTAAGCAATTAATTGATACTAATTAATTTATAATGAAAAATAATTATGACAATAATACTTCCATTACATTTTTAGCAAATGTATCAATTTTTATATTAATTGATATTAATTATATTAACTTTTATTAATGAAATATTTTTTGTAAAATCAAAACTGAAAAAAATGACAAAATAATCATTTTTATATCATATAAGGGCAGAAAGGACAATTATACAGTAAAAAGTTATTTTACAGTTTATTAACCAAATACTACTCTGCTGCTTAAATCCATAATCTCACAGCTGCACCAAACAGGTTAACAGCTTATGTTCACAGCTATAAGTCATAATCTGTTAAGTTATAATCTATAATCACCTTTCCACAGCTCTATCAAACGGGCCTAAAGCAAGTATATTCTTAATTCAATAACCCAAAAAAATAGATCAATTTTCACATAAAATTGGTGAGCATCCAGATTTGCGTGGAAACAGAAGGTTCAATATTATTATTTTTTAAATTTCTCAGTAAAAATTGATAAAAGAATTATAATTGACCTTTAAACAGATGAAGCAACAGAATAGCAAAGAAGAAAATGCTACATAAAGGAAGAGATTGGCATTCTAAAAGAAGAAAATTACATGTTGATGCAATAGGTAGTACACAATTCTACTGCCTCATGCAAAATGTAAGCATTAACCCTGGTAGCATTTGCAACTTTAAGCCTTTAGTTTGTTATAGTTCATTGTACTTGTAAATTTTGTTGATAGATCAAATTCCCTTACAAATTAGAACACATAAAATTTCAACTTTACTACAAAATTTTTGTAAAATACTTTCAAGTTTAACTTGTTTGATGCTTACTACAGTGAAAGAGATCTAAATAAAAGACAAAACAAAACAAAACAAAAATATTCTGATTTAATTATTACCTTACACAAAATATAAATTTATGCAGAAGCAATTATTTTCATGACTAAAAATCACTGATCTACTAAATCATAACTATATCTGCATATCAAAGAATTTGACCTGTATGAGAGAATGACCTATGAATAATGATTCATTTATTTAGGATAAATATAAGAGACATAAAAGAGAAGGAATAAAAGAGAAAGAGAGAGGAGAGCCAGGGAAGAGGCAGTGCAAGAGAAGAATAACAACACAACTTTTATGTGTTAATTAAAATCCCATCTCATGCTCTGTCTCATCCCCGTCTCCCCTCTTCAATCATTACGATATTACCCAATATAGCCTTCTTGAATGAAATATCCGGGGAGAATCTATCACCAATGCCAATTATTGCCAAGAAACATCCCAACCCTCAAAGGAACTTGTTTGTCAAATATGTTGTTATTGTATTCATTGGCGGGCGAACTTTTATAGAGAGAATAGTAGCTAAACTGTTGTGCACATTATTCCGATGTAACCAAAAAAACAAAATTTGCAGTACACATTCTAGTGGTAGTACTACAAATATTGGTTTTATTTGACTCAATTTTAGTGTACTATCCAAAGTACGAATGTACTCCTCATTGGGTGAACTCAAAGAAACCTAACTGTCATAACAATGCTTGATTGACCCTTTTAGGCTGGCTACCTTTTAAAAACGATAGTTATAGGTAAACAAAAAAGAAAATTTTTAAAAATGTTAAGAAAATATATTGAACTGTAAAAATTCATTTTTCTAACTATATAAGATTAAGGCCTAGTTTGGGAAGATTAAATAAGTGTACTTTTTGACTTTTTATGAAATATGGATTGAGTTTGGATTGGATTTGAAGTGATGTGTTAGAGAGGTGATATGATTTAAATAAGATGATGTGACTTAAATAGGATAGTGACTTTTTGACTTTTTGTCTTTTTTCAATCATGCCAAACTTGGCCTAAATTTAGGCTTTACATTCATTTTCGGGCTCAAATTAAGTTTTTGAGTTAGTAGCTTTGTGTTTTAGAAAACAGCTAAGAAACTTTTAGAAAGCGTTTGATAGAGTTTTCTAAATATAATTTGATAATAGAAATTGTATTTTAAATTTGTGAGTTTTGAAATTATAATTTAAGTGTGAAAAACTTGTTTGGTGAATAAAATTTAAAAAGAGTTTTGAATTGTGTGAAAACTTTTTGATGTGACATAAAATATTTGATATAAAAACTTATAATTCATAACTAAACACACAACTCAAAATTCTATTTAAAACTCATAAAAAAATTTAAAAATTTCAATTTTTTTTTTATTTAAAATATAAAAAATAATAGATGGCAATTGTTAAAAAAATAAAAATAAAATGCACTGTTCCGGTCAACCGGCCGGACGTCCAAAAGGACGATCGGTTAACCCAAAGTTTTCAAAAATAAATATGAAATTAATTTTTAAAAACTGTAAACAAACATTATGTGCAAACCAAAGGATAGAACTAAAGTTCTAAAACTCTACCAAACAGAGCCTTATATGTTCCAAAAAAAAATTTGAAAAAACAGATGGAAGCTTCTTTTTTTTTGCCCCGAGTACTTTTTTATACCACTGTGACTCATCCTCACTAGCAACCATTCTATAAAAACTCACCTGTGCTTGATTTTGAGTATTTTTTTAATATTTTCATTTTCTTTCTTAGAAAAATAAGGCTTAAACTCAATGTGATAAATTCTCACATTTTCAACAAAAACAAAAAAAAAAGTTAGGCAACGGTTTATTGTTGGTATTTACATCAGCAAAAAGAAGCCACATCAGATGAGAAAAAAATTAGAGAGAACCTTTTGAATAATTCATTAACAAAGATTATTGAATTCTTTAAACTACAAGGTACTGGAGTTAGAAAAACAAATTAAAAGAATGATAAATACAAAGAAAGAAGACTTCTACGGAGCAGCACATCAGGTATCATGACTAGTTATTAACAGTGAGACGCTGACTAATATGGTACACCTTCTAGCCTTCTCAAAGAGTTGTCAGAGCGCGGACAGTGTTCCCCATTGATGTAAAACCTGCTAAGAGTAGAGGAAAAGGGATTCAATTAGGTAATTGATTCAGAAAATGGTACTATCCGATCCAAAACAAAGTTCAAGTGACAAATACCAGTAATCAATCACATAACAAAAGATCACAATAAACCTTCTCAGCAATTTTAACATGAACACAAGGAGCTAGGCCACAAAATGGCCTCAGCATATTATCCAAAATAACTTGATATATTTCTTCATTCCAATTATCTATGCATTAAGAGATTCCATGAGTCAGCATGAATGATGTACTTGCAGTTAAGTTCTGAACAATCATCACATTGCTAGACAACTTACGACACACTAGTCCCTTTCATGTAATAGAAGTGAAGATGTAGGGTGGTACTGGTTAACAAATTTCCTCAAGAATGGAAAAGTAATTAATAGAATGGCATTACCCATGTAGAAACAATATGCAGTTACGGCACCATTCAAATGCAACTTCTTAATCACAATGGAAAAAGAAATTGAGCACTACTGATGCAAATCTGGATGTTGAAAGAAGTCCCGCTACAAACAACCTTGTAACCATTGGAAGAATACAAGTAGACAAAGATTGTGTGTTTGGCCAAGGCTATTTATCAAATGAGATTTGGGATTAAAAAAAGAGGATAATTGAACAATGGTTGAGAAGGCTCCCATATAATTATGGAGGTGTTTGGTGTTCATCAACCATAGGCTGCGTAGTTAACAATTTCTATGAAGCCTAGACTGGAGGTTTCCACTCTGAAACATTCTCACTTTGTTTCAGAGTTGCTCTGAGAAAAAACTGATATTAACTAGTGTATTTAAAATGCCTCACATTCCAAGTTTGTTCAAGTCATTTGACAGCATGTATAAAGTTAACACAGGGAACCCTGGAAACTGCAGCAAATATATTTCCTCCCTTGAAACTGCAGCAAGATGTCCAGAAACAACATGACTACCTCAAGCTCAAAATATTTGGAACTTGAAAGGGAATTCCAGTGTATTGCCACAGATTCTTAAATGCTAACAATTATGCAAAATAAAGCCCGGAAATCTGTCAACTTAAATTCTATGCATATGAATAATCCTTCCAAAATTTTCTCATCTACCAGTTTTTACCATGAACCCACCACTTAAGAAGTTAACTGACCCCATTCAAATTGATTATCCAAAAACTTCAAAAGCCCAAGACCAAATTGAACCCTCATTTCTCTTTAACACCAATCTCAATCTACTTCACAAGTCTACAAGCCACAACCTTGTTCCAAAGGCATTTTTTCCCGACCCAAAACACCAAAACCATTCACCAAGAAAAGCTAAGTTCGTACTCAAAATTTTCTCGCTCTTAATGGTTTTTACCTTGAGCCCACCCCGTTCAAATTATCAGCCAAAACATCAAAAGCCCAAGACCAAACTGAACCCTAATTTCTTTAACAGCAATCTCCTACTACTTCCCAAGTCTACAAACCACAACCTTGCTCCACAAGCTTTTATTTTCAACCCAGATCTCCAAAACCAAAACCAAAACATTCACCAAGAAAAGCAAAAGTTCATATTCATAAACATTCCAATTCCGAACCAGAATGTCCTTGCTGCATGACGACACTGAGTGAAAAACTACCGTCCCCTCCAACAAATATGAACAATAGCACCAGCTCTGTGAGAATATTATGCTAATGTAAATATATTAGATTGATTGTGTGAATATCAGATTGATTGTAAGAATATAGGTTTATTCTTATTTCTTTTTTTAGATTAAGTCTATATAATTCAGTTGTACTCTCTATATTATACACAATTGATTATACAACAAACGTTCAGAAATCTTACATGGTATCAGAGCTAGGTTTGAAACCCTAGCTCTCAGCTTCTCCTTCGCTGGTCCAAATTTGTTGGCTTTGTCTCTCTCTAAGTCGACTCCTCTGTGACGTCTCATCAGTAGTCGCTGTTTGCTGCCGGCATCGCAATTGTGACCTCTCGACTCACAATCGCAATCTTCCTCTCTGGTTGCTGCTTCAGCCACTGATCTTGTTCAAAGACTTCTGATTCATCTTCCCTAGTTCTCTGGTTTGCCCTGCTGGTTCTCTTGTTCGTTTCTCTCTTTCGACCCATCTGGTTGTCATCTCTCTCTCTTCGTGGTTCGCAAAGCTTCTCTCCCTCTCTGTCAAAGGTTTCTCTCTCTTGCGAAGACGCGTAACCTCTGGTTCTGTCCTCTCTTTGCTGATTTACTGTTTTGATCTAGTAAATAAAGCTTTTATTTACACTTCTGCCCCTCGGTTTGTGATTATCTGGTTATTTGGTATCATTTTTTTGAGTTATTATACTTTGACCCATCATCTTTGTTTTATTACAATGTCGGACACTAAAATCCAAGCCATCAAATGCAAACTCACCGGTGACAATTATGCCTACTGGGCCAGTGTTATGAAAAAAAAAAATCTTGGTCAGAAAAAGTGGGGTTACATTTCTAGTTCTGTTCTCCGTCCATCAGACCTAAAAAAGAAGGATATCTGACTTCGTATAATACTTGGGATTGTGATAATGCCCAAGTTCTGACCTGGTTTCATAATTCTGTGGATGACTGTATTGGAATGATGTTCTCTAAATATAACACTACCAAGGAAGTGTGGGATTATTTACAAGGTGTTTATCAGCAATCTAACTTTGCTAAGCGATATAAGTTGAAAACAACTATTCAAGGTGCTAGTCAACGGGATCAGTCCATTCAGGACTTCTATATTGAGATGACATGTCTCTAGGATCAGTTAGCTCTTATGGAACCATCTAGCCTCAAGGTTCTAGATGCTTATGTTAAATTTCAAGAGCAGGGTCATCTAGTGCAATTCTTAACAGCTCTCTTCCCTCAATATGAGACTATCTACAGTGGCATCCTTCATTGATCTCCTCATCTCTCTATAGATGCTATTGTTCGTAAGCTCCTCTTCGAGGAAACTCGTCTTATGACGGCCAGTCAGACTTCGTCTCTATCTGTCTTCCTAGCTCCTAATCAACATCCACTGATATCTACCCCTCCTTATCAGCTTCAGGCCACTGCAATGCCCAAGAAGGGGCCCTAACTTAAGATGAGTGTGCTTTTTGCCATTAAAAGAGGCATTGGAAGTACAACTATCCCAAGAAGGGACGTGCATCTTCTCAACAATCTCAATCACAATCCCGAGCTCCTCAAAATAATTTTCAGCCCCCCGCCGCTTATACTGCATTTACTCCGACTTCAGATCCTAACATGACTTCCTTGAGTGCCCAAATTGCTCAACTTCAAAATCTCTTGTCCACCTCTCAACCATCCCCATCTACAACTGCTCTTACCTCTCTTTATTCAGGTTGGTTTGGATCCTCTTCAAGTATCTCCTCTTTTGTCTAGTTTTTTTACTCTAGTACCTCTCATCATATGACTCCTCACATTTCCTTACTTCAAAACTGTATCTTCCTTCCCTCTCCTAGTATTGTTAATACTGCTAATGGGTCTAGTATGCTTGTTCTATCTATTGGGTCTGTCTTACCTTTTGCCATGTCTACGGTTACTATTCCCTCTATTTTTTATGTTCCTCAGCTATCTGTCAGTTTATTATCTATTTGTCAACTTGATGCTTCTAGTTTTGGTGTCATCTTTTCCTCTTTTGTCTGTTGTGTGCAGGATCGGGTGTCTAAGAAGCATATTGGGATAGGTCGTAGAGTTGGAGATCTCTATGTGATAGCAAGTTTGCATCTCCCTCTATCCACCTCTCCAGTTGCACTTTCCTCATTTCAATTAGATTCTCAGTCGAGTCAATTTTATTTATGGCATTCTCGCCTAGGTCATTTGTCTATTGACCACTTACGATCTTTAGCCCAGTCAGGATTGTTAGGTAAAATTTCACCTACTCAAATTGATGAATGTTGGGAGTGTAAACTTGCCAAAATGTCAGCTTTACCAATTAATAAAAGTACTTCTATTTTTGTTTTTTTTTTTTTCTCTTGCGCATACTAATGTTTGGGGACCCTCACATGTTCTCACTAAAGGGGTTATGCATACTACGTGTCTTTTGTTGATGATTGCACCCCATATACTTGGATTTATCTTATGACTCATAAATCTGACTTCTATCAAATATATCATACCTTTTAGTCTATGATCACTACACAATTTGGGGCTACCATTAAATTGTTACGGTTTGACTTGGGTGGAAAATATTTTAAAACTAAGTTATGTGAGTAATTTGGACAATTTGGGTACCCTACACCAAACTTCTTGTACTGATACACCCATCCAAAATGGTTGCACTGAGCATAAACAATGTCATCTTCTTGAAACAGCTATGTCTCTCCTTCTCTCTGCCTTTAATCCGGCCCCTTTTTGGGATGAAACAACTCTCACTGCTACTTTTCTTCTAAACTATATGCCTACTCCCCTACTCTCTGGTGGTTTCCCTCATGACATTATGTTCTTCTAACTTCCCAATTACTCTCTCCTGCGTGTTTTTTGGTCTGCTTGTTTTGTCCTTCTTCTCTATAAAGACAGGATCAAACTTAGTGCCCGGTCTATTTTGTGTCTTTTTGGACTAAAGTCTTACCCAGAAAAGTTATCGTTGTTATGACCCTGTTTCTCGTTGCCTTTATGTCTCGCCATGTTGCCTTTCTCGAACGTCTATCTTATTTTCAACTTCCTCCTATCACTATGCCAGTTTCCAAAGAAGATTTAGTTCACATTAATCCATTTCCTTCTGAGGTCCCTCCTCTACTATTTCCCATGAGTACATCGCCTTCATGTCTCTCGCCATGTTGCATTTCTCAAATGTCTATCTTATTTTCAACTTCCTCCTATCACTACACCAGTTTCCAAAGAAGATTTAGTTCACATTGATCCATTTCCTTCTGAGCTCCCTCCAGATGAATACATCTCTACTGTTTCCCGTGAGCTTGTCCCCTCTACCACCACTCCACCTGAATCCCTCTCCACGGGCCCCCAAGTCTGTTCCCTGTTATCCTTCTCCTTCTCCTCCTCCTCCATCTCCATCTCCATCTCCTCATCATCCTCCGTTGTTAGTCTATTTTCGTCGCAAAGCTCTCCCTCCACCAGTTGTCTCTACCCCTACGGTAATCCTCCTGCCTCTGATGACTCTAATCTTACCAACCGTAAATATCCCATTCGCATCCGTAAACAGGTAGTCCAACTTGGTTTTACTCAAACATATTTTTCTCCTTTATACTGCACTTTTTTATCTACTATTCGCTCTTATTTAGAATCCTAATCTTACAAGGAGGCCTGTCAGGATCCTAATTGGGTTCAAGCTATGAAGGATGAACTGTCTGCTTTGAACTTAATATGAGGCTTAACTTGATGGTGTCCTTCTGGATGATCCTACTTTATATCAAGAGCTTATAGATTACTTAGTTTATTTGATGGTCATTCGCCCTGATCTTGCCTATGCTGTTCGTGTGGTTAGCCAGTTCGTTTTTGCTCCTCGTTCTACACATTGGCTGCTTTGGTTTACATTCTTCACTATCTCCAGGGTACTATACTTCAAGGCTTACTGTTGTCTTCCACTTCCTCTTTGGACTTGGTTGCCTATGCTGCTTTTGATTCAGCTGGTGATGTTACTGATCACAAGTCTACTTCTGGCTTCCGCATGTTTCTTTGTGATTCCTTGATTCCTTGAAAGTTCAAGAAACAGGCTGTTATTGCACGTTCCACTACCAAGGTTGAATACCGTGCTATGGCTCATGCCACTGCTGAGATTGTTTGACTTCGTTGTCTCTTATCTGATTTGGGTGTACCTCAGTCTTCTCCGACCTCTCTTTACTGTGACAATCATAGTGCTATTCAAATTGCCCATGACACTATCTTCTATGAGCGAACGAAGTACATTAAAATTGATTATCATTTTGTTCGTCAACATCTGCAATCTGGTTCCATCTCGCTTTGTTTCGTCTCTTCGACACTTTAACTTATTGACTTCTTTACCAAGACTTACACCACTGCTCATTTTCTACTCCTTCTTGGCAAACTCTCAGTATTTTCTGCTAAAACACCTCGAGTTTGAGCAGAGGTATAAGAATATTATGCTAATTATGTAAATATATTAGATTGATTATGTGAATATTAGATTGATTGTAAGAATATAAATTTATTCTTATTTCTTTTTTTAGATTAGGTCTATATAACTTGGTTGTACTCTTTGTATTATACACAATTGATTATACATAAAACATTCAAAAATCTTACAAGCTCATCCCTAACTTCGACAAACCATCTTGAATGCCTTTTGCATCATGGAATTAGAAATTCATACAATATATGGACTTGATGTTCTGTTTGTTTCATTAGATTGGATTACACGAGACTATTAGTTCTGACACTAATAATACTAGCATTACCAATCCCTCAGGATTACATATCCTATCCCACATTTAGAATGCCCTTGATTAGGTGGGGGATTAGTAGAATTCTATCATATTCCATGTTTGTTTGGAATCACTACAGAATGTGAATTCAATTGGTTTTGGGTTGTTTTGATGTCTTCATCACAGATGAGGACCACACAAGTTGTGAAGGGCAAAGGAGGAATCCGATCATTGAGTCTGCCGAAGGGTTGGCAGATGCCTAAAATGGGTGTAGGCTTAGGAAGCATAGACACACATGTCCATGTGTCATACACACCAAGTGACAAGTCAAATTTTTTATTGTACCCTCACCAATACATTATTCACAAAATTGGTGCTTATTACATGTACTCAAAAACAAAAAATAATGCATTGTCAGTTAGATAAATCCAAAATTAAAACCAGGAGAAAGCTTGCATATGTTCCTAGTTCCTACAAACCACAACATATTTCTGGGCAAGCCATGGATCTGCAATGCAAATAGATAATGAATTGAATTTATATCAAAGCAATACACAACAAAGACAAAGAAGTATGTAGGAGCATGGAACAAAATTGCAACGCAACTTTGTTACATTGCCGCTGAGCTGAAAACAGATACATAGAGAAAGTTTATCTGACTGAGGGGAAAGAAAAATAAAATATTTACTTACATAGTTCAGCACTCTAACAAAACTCTTTGCAAGTTGATTTGTTGTGCCCAGCACCCTTGCATCTACTGCATTGGAGTTGACGTTTGATAACATCTTGTGATCCAAATCGCTTAGTGGTAGGCCTGCCTGGTGGACGACGAGTGGGAGGTGGGGTTACAGTCACCGCACTCTGAGAAGAATCCTTCTGCATGGGCCTCTCTGCATTGGGAACAGGATGTATTGACTCTGAATATGTTAATCTGTAGCCATCAGCTGTAAAGTATCTAGAACAATAATCATATGGATTACGACCGAGGCAACTGATGACAGCAATGGCATGGCAGCATGGCAAACCAGTAAGCTGCCACCCTTTGCAACTGCAATCCCAGTGATCAATATCGACAACTTCAATAGATTCGCCACGGACCTCAAACCTATTACCAGCTAATATTAACACTTGAAGCGAACGTACTTTAAGGCTTTCTTTCTCTAGTTTTTCCTCCATGGATGGGGTTAGCCTCGTCAACCATTGGTTGGAATCTGTACGTCTTGTATGAATCAACTCCATAATCTTACCCCGTATTGCATCAACCATCTGGGTTATTGGTAATTCGTGTGCATCTGATGCCCAACTGTAGAACAACTCTCCAAAGTTTGCCGTCAAATGGTTATATCTTGCACCCTGGAAGAATGCATTTGCCCAGTGCACAGGCTCACTTTGCATCACCCAATTATAAGCTTCTAGTGAAATATTTTTAATGCTTTCAACACACCTTTGGAAGCCTTCGGGCCTAGGTGCAAAAGCAGCAGCATAAAAATCCTCGACCATGAGACGCTTCACTTCATGAGAAAATTGCCCCGTTAAGTCTGTAATAAGTTGTTCTGAAAGATAACGTATACAATATCCATGCTGCACATCCACGTCACAAAATATGTCAGTGATTGACTCCTTTATCCCCTTCCCTCTATCTGCCACAAATGTTATGCTCTGAGCTGTTGACAATGCAGATTTCAATTGTAATAAAAACCAATGCCAGTTATCGTCAGTTTCCACATCTACTACAGCAAAAGCAATAGGGAAAAAGCCATCATCCCCATCAGCAGCTGTTGCCGCCAACAATGTGCCTTGGTATTTTGACTTTAAGAACACGCTATCAAGGAAAAGTAAAGGCCGGCAACCCTGTTGGAAGCCATACAAAGAGGCATGAAATGATACAAAGAGGCGATGAAAGCTTGAGTCATCCTTAGTGGTGAAAGTAGCTAAACTACCAGGATTTGTCTCCATTATCTTCTCACAGAAAAGGGGTAACTGACTGTATGCCTCCTTATATGAACCTTGGAGCTGCTCCTTAGCAATCTCTTTCCCGCGCCATGCCTGAAAGTAGTTTAGCTGAATTCCATATTCCTGTTTAATGTCATTGACAATATCTTTTGGCTTGTAATTAGGGTAAACTTTCAGTTTCTCCTTGATTATACTTGCAACCCAACTTCTTGTTGCCTGATGCCCTGTTGTCACAGCAGCCCCTTCACATGTATGTGTGGCATTCATCTTCTTAATACAAATTAATTGAGTTGTTGACAACCTTGACGCATGAATTCTCCATGGACAACCATCTGCTTTGCATTTGACAGTCACACGATGACTGTCATTCTTCTTATACTTAAAAGCAAACTGATGCGCAATAGCATACTTACGTAGGGCCTCACGAAATTCATGAACACTATTGAATCTTTGGCCAACACCCGTGATAGTATTCTGCCACTGCTGTGCAGCTCTAATATGCTTCTCATCATTGAAACCAACACAAAGGGGTAGAGGCATTTCAGTGGGTAAATCAATACAGTCATCGACATGGGCAGTATCATCTAGGATGACAAATGATGCATCGAGCAGGTCAGCAGGCTGGGTTGTGTTATCCACATCGTCCTCTACAACACTGAGGGGGGCATCAACTAGAACCCCTGATTCAGACAAAGTTGTATGACTCGACCTGCAAGATCAAATGTTCCCAATGTTACATCCAAAAACAATAACATTTAAATCCCATGTTAGACAGCAAGAAGACTACCTACTGGCAGGCATGTTTGAGACATCAGCGGCAGCCACTTCTTCAGTCAAGACATATATATCAGCAGTGTCGGAGTTACCATGGAATTTGATCATGCGCTTGAGATCCTTTTCATTGGAGATCGTAATGAGTGTCTTTTTGTTACCCGGGAGGAAATATTTGATGGAAATATTACCAAGATTACAATTGAACATCTCTGCCACCTCCACCTTGAAATTTTTATACTTCATATGCTCTTCAATTTCCATAGCATGAGCATCCCCACCTCTATAAGACAATGAGCCATCTTTATCTGTCTCAAATTCACCGCCCGATTGACATATAGCGATAACTTTCTTTCCACCCATGACCTGGCCCATTATGAAAAACAACTTTACCCCATTATATAAACTATAGCACCAATTACAAGAAAATAAAAATCACCCACATGATACGAAAAGGACAAAGCTATTAATTTCAGGCACGGCTATATATCGTGAAGTTCAACTTGTAAGTGCAAGATCATCATTGAAAAACTATAGAAAACAACAAATTTTCCCCCATTATAGAAACTATAGCACCAATTCCAAGAAAACAAATCACCCACATGATACAAACACAACAAAACTGTTACTGTCTGACACGGATATGTATCATGAAGTTCCGCTTGTAATGACCATCACTATAGAAAACAACAATTTTTACACCATTATAGAAACTATAGCACCAATTGTAAGAAAACAAATCACCCACAGGATACGAAAATAACAAAGCTATTAAATTCCAGCACGGGTATATATTGTGAAGTTCCACTTGTAAGCATCACTAAACAACTATATACACTATAAGCTTAAATTAAAACTTCCCCTAATGACAACAAGCCAGTATATCAGAATCCAAATCTTTGAACTCAATAATAATCTTTCAAACACAACTTCTTCAATGCCCAATATAAACACATAGATATAATTAACCCAAATACTCATCCATATATAGTTACACATACAGATATATATCAGCGGAGCCCAACAACAGCAAAACGCGCATGAGGATTGAAATAAATAAATCAAACGGGTATTTTCATAAAACCCTAATATATGAAAGATTAGAGGAAGATTTGAACCATAATTTATTGTAACTGGATTTAATAAACCCTAATAGATGATGGCAAGTTCATACCTTTGAGATCGCGAGTCAGAGAGAGAGAGAGAGTCGCAATGCGCAATTTACACGAGCTAGGATCTGACTATTATATTACCGGTTGACTATATATATATGGTTGACTACATATATACGTAATTTTTATGCCTTATTATATTTAGCGATATGCTTCAAAAAAAACAAAAAAAAACCAAAAATTAGGACTTTATATATTCAGGGATATGCTTCCAAAAAAAAAATAGAATTTTGGTTTTGGTTTTTAGGAAATATTTTTTAGGGAGCTTTTTTGATAAATCTATTTTCTAGGAGTTTTATTTCATCCAATTCATATTCTTTTTTACTATTCCATTAGGTCCAATTTGAGATAAAAAGACCAAAATACCCTTTTCATCTACTTATGTTCCATTTAGTTCACATTATTTTCTTATGTTTCAATAAGTCTTATGGGTGACATAATTACAAAAATACCTTTAATGTGAATGTTCACACCGTCAATATAAATGTTTATATCGTCAATGTGTAGGGGCCCGGCTCATATCGATCCTCGTGGGTGCCCGGAAAAATTCGAGTCCGGCCGAGCCGGCCCACAAGCCAAAAAAATAAGCCCGACCCGACCCGTTGATAATATGAATATTCACATTGACAAGTTAACATTCACATTGATAGGAGTGTAAAATTGGTCTGCGGCCCGTGGGCGGCCCGAAACCAGCCTGTCGCCCGGGGCGGGCCCGGGCTGGCCCGTTCACAATATGAATATTCACATTGATATATTAACATTAACATTAACATTGACAAGAGTGTAAAATTGGCCCATGACCCGTGGGCAGCCCGAAGCCCGGGCCCGGCCCGGCCCGTTGACAATGTGAATATTCACATTGATATGTTAACATTCACATTGATAGGAGCGTAAAATTAGCCCGCGGCCTGTGGCCGGCCCGAAACCCGCCCGCGACTCGTGGGCTGCCCTGGGCGGGCCCGGCCCAACCCGTTGATAATGTAAATATTCACATTGACATGTTAATATTCACATTGATAAGAGTATAAAATTAGCCAGCGCCCCATGGCTACCCGAAACTAGTCCACGGCGGGCCCGACCCGGCCTGTTGACAATGTGAATATTCACATTGACATATTAACATTCACATTGATAAGAGTGTAAAATTGACTCGCGTCCCATAGGCGAGCCCGGTCCGGCCCGTTGACAATGTGAATATTCACATTGACATATTAACATTCATATCGATAGGAGTATAAAATTGGCCCGTGGCCTGTGAGCGGCCCGAAGCCCGCCCGCTGACTAGGGCAGGCCCGGCCCAGCTCGTTGACAATGTGAATATTCACATTGACATATTAACATTAACATTGATAAGAGTGTAAAATTAGCCCGTGACCTGTGGGCAGCCCGAAGCCCGGCCCCGGGCCGACACGGGCCCGTCCCGTTGACAACGTGAATATTCACATTGACATGTTAACATTCACATTGATAAGAGTGTAACATTAGCCCGTGCCCCGTGGCTGCCCGAAACACGCCCATGGCCCGTGGGCAGCCCGAGGTGGGCCCGGCCCGGCCTGTTGACAATGTGAATATTCATATTGACATATTAACATTCACATTGATAAGAGTGTAAAATTGACTCGCGTCCCATGGGCGGCCCGAAGCCTGTGGGCGGCCTGGGATGGCCCGGGTTTGGATCCGGGCCTACCCCGGGCCGCGGGCGAGTTTCGGGCAGCGGACAAGTTTTACACTCTTATCAATGTTAATGTTAACATGTCAATATGAATATTCACATTGTCACGGGTCAGGCCAAGCCCGCCTCGGGCTGCGATCGGGCTTCGGGCCGCCCACGGGTTGCGGGCCAATTTTACACTCCTATCAATGTGAATGTTAACATGTCAATGTGAATATTCACATTGCCAACGGGTCGAGCCCGCCCTGGCCCGAGGTCGGGCTTCGGGCTGCCCACGGGTCATGGGCCAATTATACACTCTTATCAATGTGAACAGGCCGGACCGGGCCAGTCTCGGGGCGCCCATGGGCCGTGGACGGGTTTCGGGCAGCCACGGGGCGCGGGCTAATTTTACACTCCTATCAATGTGCATGTTAACATGTCAATGTGAATATTCACATTGTCACGAGTCGGGCCAAGCCCGCCTCGAGCTGCGGTCGGGCTTCGGGCCGCCCACGGGCTGCGGGCCAATTTTACACTCTTATCAATGTGAATATTAACATGTCAATATATGAATGTTAATATGTTAATGTGAATATTCACATTGTCAACGGGCCGAACCGGGCCTGCCCCGGGCAGCCCATGGGCCGTGGGCGGGTTTCGCGCCGCCACGGGACGGGGGCCAATTTTACACTCCTATTAATGTGAATGTTAACATGTCAATGTAAATATTCACATTGTCAATGGGCCGGGTCTGGCTGAGTGGGGCCCGCCCTAGGCTCTGTCTAGTTTTATACTCTTATCAATGTGAATGTTAACATGTCAATGTGAACATTCACATTACGAGGCGTGGGCTAATTTTACACTCCTATCAATGTGAATGTTAACATGTCAATGTGAATATTCACGTTGTCAACGGGCCGGGCCGGGCCTGCCCCGGGCTGCGGGCGAGCTTTTGGCCCCCATGGGCCGTGGCCCAATTTTATACTCTTATCAATGTGAATGTTAACATGTCAATGTGAATATTCACATTGTCAACGGGCCGAACCGGGCCCGCCTTGGGCCGCCCATAGGCCACGAGCGGGTTTCGCGCCGCCATGGGACGGGGGCCAATTTTACACTCCTATTAATGTGAATTTTAACATGTCAATGTGAATATTCACATTGTCAACAGGCCGGGCCAGGCCGGGCCGAGCCCGCTCCGGGCCGCGGGCGGGCTTTTGGCCGTCCATGAGTCGCGGGCTAATTTTATACTCTTATCAATATGAATGTTAACATGTCAATGTGAATATTCACATTGTCAACAGGCCGGGCCAGGCCGGGCCGAGCCCGCTCCGGGCCGCGGGCGGGCTTTTGGCCGTCCATGAGTCGCGGGCTAATTTTATACTCAAACTATACATACATGGGACTAAATGGGTTAAAAAATTCCTTCATGGACTTCTTGGGTTAAAACACTTCTAAATTGGACTTATCAATAAAAATCCCTATTTTTTAGAAAATTTTATTTTTTTATTTTTTGTATTTTTTTAATATTTTAAATAATTTTTTTTAATTTTTAGAAATACTTAACATAAATATACTTAAAAAATATAATATTTGTGAACAAAAATATTTTAAAAATTCATTAAATACCAAAAATATAAAAAAAATACAAAAATTTAATACATTTTTCGTATTTTTTGTATTTATTAATTTTTTAAAATATTTTTTCACTATTTTTTTATTATTTAAATACATCTAAGTAAGGTATATCTAAAAAAATAAAAAAATTACTTAAAATTTTAAAAATATTCACTAAAAATACAAAAAAATACGAAAAATAAAAATTTCAATTTTTAAAAAACTGAATTTAAAAAATTAAAACCAAACACACTACTTATTGTTGATGTTGGAAAGTGTATAAAAATATATATATAAAATATGAGAAAAAATTAAAATATACAAATATGTATTGGAATTATAAATGACAACTTTTTTTGCCACTCTGCATCTTGCCTTGTTTCCCCAAATTTTTTTCCATCCTGACGAGGAAGTGGGTTGGGAATAAATTTTGCTTCACTCACGATATTTTAACTCGCTTTCACTCTGATTATGTTTATTAAATATATATATTCTTTAATTTTTTGATATAATAAAATTAACATAATAAAAAAATAGAGATTTCTTTTAGGGTTCCTAATATTAGGATTTTATAGCATAAAAAATATTCAATATTTTTATAATATTTAAGATCCCTCAACATCAATCCAAAGAAAACTCGATCTAAAGAATTTCTCTGGATTTCACACTCTTCTCTGAATTTTTTTCCATCCTGACGAGGAAGTGGGTTGGGAATAAATTTTGCTTCACTCACGATATTTTAACTCGCTTTCACTCTGATTATGTTTATTAAATATATATATTCTTTAATTTTTTGATATAATAAAATTAACATAATAAAAAAATAGAGATTTCTTTTAGGGTTCCTAATATTAGGATTTTATAGCATAAAAGATATTCAATATTTTTATAATATTTAAGATCCCTCAACATCAATCCAAAGAAAACTCGATCTAAAGAATTTCTCTGGACTTCCCACTCTCCAAAATCCCACAATGTGAAAATTCATACAGTGACTACAATGAGAGAAAATTTACAAAATTACAAATAATGAGAGAAATTATATCTACTTCAAATCACACCATGGGTGAGTACTTCTACATCAAACCAAAATACACACAATCTGTATTTTTTGTTTTTGATTTTTCATTGATTGTATGTATATATGTAAATGTTTATACTTTAACAAACTGAACTGGTGAATAAATCGTTAAATGTTTTTGAATTATATTAACAAAAATACAAGGCTCAAATTTTTGGATATATATGTATATAAAAGAACAAACATGAATATGGGTTTCTATTGGACACCTGCTTAGCTTTTAGGTTTTCTCTGTTGGGTATTTTTGTTACTTGTCAACACAGGTATGAAAACTAAGTTGGCATAGAGAAAATTCACACATCCAGAGAAAATTCATAGTCCAGAAAAAATTCACACATCCAAAGAAAATTCACACAGTCCAGAGAAAATTCAATCTAATTTACTCACAAATCACAATTCCCTCATCCAAATTCTGAACGTTGCCGAAGTCATCAATCTTGTAGAACTGTAAAACTACGAGATTGACCTTCTTCTTATTGTGTTTGATCTTCTTAGGCTCGGTATAGGTCTTTTTCTTGCGCTTCTTTGTGTTACTGCGGAGGCGGAGCACTAGGTGAAAGGTAGACTCCTTCGAGATGTTGTAGTTGGCTAGGGTTCAGCCGTCCTCCAGTAATCAATTTTTGATAATGTGAGATTACTACCAACAAAGATATGAGAAATAGATGCAAATCAAATATTTTTGAAATAGAAAAAGAGCAGAGAAAGCGCAGAATATGGAATTCTAGACCATACTGACACA